CTTTTGCTCTCCCCCCCCCCCCATCCCGCTAGATTCGCTGCCATTCACAGGCTGTATGGGGTGATTTAAAATAGTTATGTTTTTTTTGTTTTGCATTTGAAATAATTAACATATTATTTCAAACCAATTAATCGTGTGGATTTGGTTCTGATCTCTGTGTGGCGCATGCAAACCGACTCACCCCCCTCCCCCCCTTCTTCCGACATTATTGCTACCCACAAATACTTCACTCTTCATTGGTAGTGTGCTTTGAAATCGTTTTAATTTAAAACTACTATATATACACCTACCAAATTAATTTGACTCTCACTTTTTCTCTATCACTTTTCACTATATATAGTCCCTTTCTAAACATAATTTGCAATCAAGATTACAATAGTTAGTGGTGCCGGTTCTGCGTGTAGCACATGCAAATTCCTTCGCCGGATGTGCATTTCCGACTGTGTGTTTGCACCTTACTTTCACGATTTCAATTATTTAATAGTTTATTATTTCATTTTTATTAACGTTTGGAATTTGAAAATTAAATATTCAATCCAAAAGTCTCAACTTTCTAATATTATTATTTTTCATTGTTTTACTATTAAAAAAAATAGAATTATAGAATATGGAACAAAAAGAAAATTGAAAACATAAAAGGAAAGTTGAAAAAATTTTCAAATCTGCCCGGAAGTTGCTCGAAAATTTCAGAGAACTGCCGACAATTAAGTAGCTTGGGACCAAATCAACCCTATCAATTATAGGATCGGCTGCAATTCCTCTTTAAAAGTGGTTCTAAAATCTTTTAAAGGAGATTCGGGTTCAAAAGGACCCTCCCACGTGTAGGACCAATCTCAATTCCTTCTTCGAAATGCCTACCTAACACCCCTCCCCCCCCCCCCCACCCCTCTTCAGACATTGCTACACACAACTACTTCACTCTTCATTGCTAGTGTGCTATGAAATCATTTTAAATCTATTATGCATACACCTGCCAAATTAATAAAGCTCTCACTTTATCTCTTTCACTTTTCACTATCTCGTTCAAACCTATATCTAGTCACTTTTTAAACATAATTTGCAATCAAGGTTGCAATGCCAAGTGGTGTTGGTTCTCTGTGTGGCGCATGCAAGTTCCTTAGCCGGAGTTGCATTCCCGACTATGTGTTTGCACCTTACTTTCACGATTTCAATTATTTAATAGTTTATTGTTTCATTTATTTCAACGTTTGGAATTTTAAAATTAAAATATTCAATCCAAAGACTCAACTTTCTAACATAAATTTTTTTTCATTGTTTTAGTATTAAAAAAAAAAAACAAAAAGAATTATAGAATAAGGAACAAAAGGAAAATTGAAAATATAAAAGGAAAGTTGAAAAAATTTCCAAATATACCCAGTAGTTGCTCAAAATTTGCCCGAGAACTGCCCACAAGTGGCTTGGAACCATATCAAATAACCTATATCACTTATAGGAACGGATGTAATCCCTCTTCAAAAGTGGTTCTAAAATCCATTAAAGGAGATTCGTGACCAAACCGACCCTTCCACGTGAAGGACCAATATCAATTCCTTCTACAAAATGCCTACCTGAACCTCTCCCCCCCACCCCCCACCCCCTCCTTCTTCCGACATTGCTACCCACAACTACTTCAGTGTTCACTTGTACTGTGCTATGAAATTGTTTTAAAGCTACTATATATACACATACCAAATTAATGTAGCTCTCTTTTCATATCTTTCACTTTTCACTATGTATCTCACTCAAACCTATATATAGTCACTTTCTAAATATAATTTGCAATCAAGATTGCAATGGCTAGTGGTGTCGGTTCTCCGTGTGGCACATGCAAGTTTATACATACCCCGAAGGTGCGTTCTCGACTTTGTGTTGTCACCTTACTTTCACGATTTCAATTATTAAAAGTTTATTATTTCATTAATTTCAACGTTTGGAGTTTGAAAATTAAAATATTCAATCCAAAGGCTCAACTTTCTAATAGAAAATGGAACAAATAGAAAATTGAAAATATAAAATGAAAGTTGAAAAAATTCCAAATATGCTCGGAAGTTTGCTCGAAAATTGCACAAGAACTGCCCACAAGTAGCTTGGGACCAAAACAACCCTATCACTTATAGGATCGGATGTAATCCCCCTTTAAAAGTGGTTCTAAAATCTTTTAAAGGAGATTCGGGGACAAATGGACCCTCCCACGTGTAGGACCAATCTCAATTCCTTCTTCGAAATGCCTACCTAACCCCCCCCCCCCCCCCCCCCCCCCCTTCCGACATTGCAACCCACAACTATTTCACTCTTAACTGCTAGTGTGCTATGAAATCATTTTAAAGTTACTATATACACACCTACCAAATTAATTTAGCTCATACTTTCTCTTTCACTTTTCACTATCTAGCTCGCTCAAACCAATATATATAGTCACGTTCTTGTTAGAAATAGTTATTTTTTAACATTGATTTATATAATAAAGGTTGTAATTCCATAAGGTACTCATCGTGATGATTAGTGATGTGTAAAGGTTGAATTACTGGGTGAAACTCCCTCCCTCTCATTCTATTAAAATTTAAGTTTATAAGGGTTAAAAGATGTATAATGGAAAAGGTTATCGGTTTTCTAAATTGAGGTTTCACATTGCTAAAGGGATTTCTATTCCTAAAAGGAAGTCTCACATTCGTAAAGGGATTTCTATTCCTAAAAGAAAGTTTCACATTCCTCTCGAAAGAGGGTTTCTCATAATTCCTAAACATAATTTGCAATCAAGATTGCAATGGCTAGTGGTGCCGGTTCTCTGTGTGGCGCATGCAAGTTCCTTAGCCGAAGGTGCGCTCCCGACTGTGTGTTTGCACCTTACTTTCATGATTTCAATTACTATTTCATTTATTTCAACGGGGAAAGTTATAATTTACGCCCCTCCATAATATGCCAATTATGAATGTCACCCCTGAATTATTAGTGATGTAAATATTGTCCCTCAATTTTCAAAATGTTACATATATTGCCCCTGAATTTGAAAATAAAAATATTCATTGTTTTAGTACGAAAAAAATAAAAAGAATTATAGAATATATATATGGAACAAAAAGAGAATTGAAAATGTAAAAGGAAAGTTGAAAAAAAATTCTAAATCTGCTCGGAAGTTGCTCAAAAATTGCTCGAGAATTGCCCGCAAACTGCCCACTAAGTAGCTTGGTTCAAAAAATCCTTTAAAGGAGATTCGGGATCAAACCGACTCTCCCACGTGTAGGACCAATCTCAATTGCTCCGAAATGCCTACCTAAACCTCCCATCCCTCCCCCCGACTTAGCTACCCACAAATACTTCACTCTTCACTAATAATGTGTTATAAAATCGTTTTAAAACTACTATATATACACCTACCAAACTAATTTAACTCTCACTTTATCTCTTTCACTTTTCACTATTTACCTAGCTCAAACCTATATATAGTCCCTTTCTAAACATAACTTGCAATCAATATTGCAATGGCTATTGGTGCGGTTCTCCATGTGGGGCATGCAAGTTCCTCCGTCAGAGGTGCGTTCCTGAGTGCATGTTAGCACCACACTTCTGCTCCGACCTCGGCATGGCCATTTTCGCCGCCGTTCACAAGGTTTTTGGGGCAAGCAACGTCTCCAAATTGTTGCTACAACTTCCTGTCCACCAGCGGTTCGCCGCCGTCTTTTCAATCACTTACGAAGCTCAAGCAAGAATGGAAGACTCCATCTATGACTGCGTCTCCTACATCATTGCTTTGCAACAACAGGTAACATGGAGCCCAAATCATGAGTTCCCACGCACCCAAAGAAGATAAAGTTTTAACAACGGATTTTTTTGTTTTTACAGGTCTTGAACCTTCCAGCGGAAGTGATGGAAGCGAGAGCTCTGCAGGCACAATACTTGCTGAATTCAATGAACACTGGAAATCAGAACGCGCCGTTTCCGCCCTCTTATCAGAACTCCCAGCATCATCGGGCAGCATCAATAACGATTCCAGTAATTGTGTCATTTGAAACAAATAATAAAAACACATATAATTTATGAAAGATTTTGATTTTATGTAATTATATAGCACTTTCTTTGAATAGGAATTGTCTAAATGGATTAATGGACAAATGAATTATGCTTTAATTATAAATTCATAACAGAGGCTTGTCTAACATTAATCATTATTTACAAATTTTACAGTTTTTTTTTTTTCACCAAACTTTATATAGTCTTTCTAACCATAATTTACAATCAAGATTGCAATAGCTAGTGGTGCCGGTTCTCCATGTAGCACATGCAAATTCCTTTGCCGGAGGTGCATTTTCGACCGTGTGTTTGCACCTTACTTTCACGATGTCAATTATTTAATAATTTATTATTTAATTTATTTCAACGTTTTGAATTTGAAAATTAAAATATATTCAATCCAAAGTCTCAACTTTCTAATATTAATTTTTATCATTGTTTTAGTATTAAAAAAAAAGAAAAACAACAAAATTTATAGAATATGGAACAAAAAGAAAATTGAAAATATAAAAAGAAAGTTAAAAAATTCCAAATGTGCCCGGAAGTTGCTCGAAAATTGCCCGAGAACTGCCCGCTAAGTAACTTGGTTCTAATTAACCTTAAAAGGTGAAGTAAATATGTCGTAAGGCAAATGGGTTCTAGGAACATATCCCGAGGTCGGTTTTCATTAAATTCCTTGATAACGTGTGCAGAACAAAAGAAAAATGTTCACCACTCTTTAAGGAATCAACAGATGGAAAATCTAACAATTCACCTACTCTCTGGATTACCCACTAGTATTTACCCGCTGGTCCTTAGGCATTTTGAAATTAATTTTCGATCCAATGGAACTATTTTCACACGCCTATAAATACCCTTTTCTTTTTCAAGGACGTCTTGAGCTGCTTCAGGTGCGAAGATCCAGTTCATCCAAGCCAAGCCATCCAGTTGGTGAAGAAGAAGTTTATTTCTTCAACCATTTGTAAACTCTATTCGGAGAACTAGAAAGAAGAGGCCGGAGTAAACTCTATAGGAGTTGAAAAAACTATATATAGTCCCTTTCTAAACATAATTTGCAACCAAGATTGCAATGGCTAGTGTTGCCGGTTCTCCGTGTGGCGCATGCAAGTTCCTCCGCCGAAGGTGCGTCCCCGAGTGCGTGTTCGCACCATACTTCTGCTCCGACCACGGCCCGACCATTTTCGCCGTCGTTCACAAGGTTTTCGGCGCAAGCAACTTCTCGAAGTTGTTGTTGCAGCTTCCGGTCCACCAGCGGTTCGCCGCCGTCTTTTCCATCGCTTACGAAGCTCAAGCAAGAATGGAAGACCCCATCTATGGCTGCGTCTCCTACATCATTGCTCTGCAACAACAGGTACCATGGCGCCGTTGATCAGATCATAAATTCCTACCGAAAGAAGAAAGTTTTAACAACCGATTTTTTATTTTTTTTGATTTTTTTTACAGGTCTTGAACCTGCGAGCGGAAGTGATGGAAGCGAGAGCTCTGCATGCCCAGTACTTGCTGAATTCAATGAACGCCAGAACTCCGATGCTGGGAGGGCCGCCGGCGCCGTTTCCAGCCATTGATCAGAACGCAACAACACCCCAGTATTCCGTTGATCATTTCAATGATGGAGGGTTTTGGCCACCGGAAATGTATACCGGAGAGGAAGCGGTTCCGTTTTCGGCTGAAGGGAGTAGCATGCAGAGAGATTCGCCATGGCACGTGGGTGAACTCCAAGCTTTAGCATTGAAAATGACCAAAACTGAGCCTAGCTAGGTTCTAGGCTGGCCTGTTCCGAACCTGATTGTTTGAGTCTTGTATTTTAATAATTTAGTTTTTATTTTCGGTTTTGTGTACTTAAACTATGTAATAGTTTAAGTTAATCCTCTTTATTTTAACAATCTAATTTAATTTCAACATTGCATCTTTTTTTAATTTAAAATTATATTTTTTTCCATTCGAAATACACGGAATATTATTTCAAGCTAATTAATTGTAATATTAGAAAGCAGTTAATTAACATCAATAACAATTACAATAATTTTGTCATTTCGGTCAAATAATAAAACACATAATTTGTGAAAGATTTCAATTTTATGTAATAAAGCATCACTTTCTTTAACTAGGAATTGCCCAAATGAATTAATGGACAAATTTTACTATTTTTTTTAAGAAACTTTATGCGAATGAATTTCAGTATTAGTTTTTAGAAAATAAATGAGTAATATATTAAACATAACTAGTTCAAAGAATATATTTAGCTACAAAATGAATTTACTTGAAAACTCTTTGTACACTGTTTAATGTGACATTTATCACGTTAGATATAATAAAGTTGAAAAGAAAAAAAAAAAGTTACATAATCAATAACATCTATTGATCGCAGAGTCAAACTCCAACTAATTTGCTAATCAATTTTCTATAAAAACCTAATATTATCAGCTGCTCATAATAACTAATGGAATCAACTATTAGCTATCTACTATGATAATTGCCAAACAGGCCTAAAAACATGAAAGTTTGACTATCGCTTTTACGATTCTCTAGCACCAAAACTTTACGTTGGTTAAATTATTATAATGATACATGTTCTTAACTATGAACAAATACTTTAAATAACTAAGACGTAGATCAGAGTCATCTCAAATTCTCGCTATTTATGGTGGCATTAATTTTATTCCTAACGTACTTAACGTTTTACGTAACGTACTTACGTACGTAACGTTTTTACGTTACGTTTGAATTTTATATATATATATATATATATATATATATATATATATATATATATAATTCAAAAGTAACGTAAAACGTTACATATGTTACGTAATATATATATATATATATATATATATATATATATATATATATATATATATATTACGTAACATATGTAACGTTTTACGTTACTTTTGAATTATATATATATATATATATATATATATATATATATATATATATATATATATATATATATATGCATTTATGATATTAATTTACGCAATCTATTATCAATTCTATTTTAAAGATTTTTATGATTATTAAATGGAATAAATATATGGTTCAGATGATGTCAATGCTATTTCTAGCCGTGTTTGGCATAGTTAGTTGTATGTAAAGCCAACTGAAAACTAAATAAATAGTTGCAAATCAACCATGTCACTTATAATATGAGATGTAATCCCCTTTAAAAGTGGTTCTAAAATACTTTAAAAGGAGATTCAGGATCAAACCGACCCTCCTACATGTACGACCAATCTCAATTACTTCATCGAAATGCTTACCTAAAACCCCCCACGTACCCCCTCCTTTCGACATTGCTACCCGCAACTACTTCACTCTTCACAGCTAGTGTGCTATGAAATTGTTTTAAAGCTACTATATATACACCTACCAAATTAACTTATCTCTCACTTTATCTCTTTCACTTTTCACTATCTATATCGCTCAAACCCTATATATAGTCACTTTCTAAACACAATTTGCAATCAAGATTGCAATGGCTAGTGGTGCTGGTTCTCCGTGTGGTGAACTCCAAGCTTTAGCACTGAGAATGACCAAAACCTAGACTAGGTTCTAGGCCACCCTGTTCCAACCCCGTTGGTTCGAGAAATGTATTTTAATAATCTAGTTTTTATTTTCCTTTTTGCAATTTGCTTCAATTCATATTAAGCTTAAACATATGTAATAGTTTAAGTTGATCCTTTTAATTATAATTAATAATCTTGTTTAATTTCGACTTTTAATTTATAATTATATTTTTTCCATTCGAGATACACGAATGTTTCAAACTAATTGATTGTAATATTGGAAAGAGAATATCGTACGTCATCGGACAACATCAATAACCATTACAATAATTGTGCCATTTCAGACAAATATTACCATTCAATGTGACACTTATCACACGTTAGATATAGTCAATTACACATAGTGATCATAGAGTCAAATTCAACTCTTTTACCAATCAATTTTCAATAAACCGCTAATATTATCAACAACTCATCATATCAACTTTTTGAAAAACAACTATTAGCTATCTACTATCCTAATTTCCAAACACACATAAAAACATGAAAGTTTGACTACCGTACCGCTTTTGCAATCCCCTAGCCCCTCATCCTTACATTGATTACATTATAAGAATACACGTTCTTAACCGTGAACAAATACTTTGAATAACATAACTATGACGTAGATCTAAGTCATCATTGATCTCATATTCTCGCTATTTGTGGCAGAATTAAATTTATTTGTAACGTACATAACGTTTTACGTTACATTTGAAATTCGTATATAGCTAGTGTGCATTTATGATATTCATTTATGCACTCTGCCATCAATTCTATTTTAAAGGTTGGTATGCTTTTTAAAGGTAATAAATACATCACTGCTCGAAATTTTAGAATTTTCGACCAACTGAAAGTGATCTTAAATTAAGTCGAAAGCAAAAATTGGTCGGAAATAGCAATAAAGGTTTTTTCGGATACCAAAAGTGGTCGGAACAAGACTTTCGACTTGATTTAAGATCACTTTCAGGTGGTCGGAAATTCCATAATTTCCAGCAGTGACATGCATGATTAAGGTGATGTCAACGCAATATTTTGTTTGAGAAAATTTAATAAAAAATAAAAATAAATAAAGTATGCATTATATTAAATCGTTTTGATCTTAACGTAAAATGTTACATTTCAAATTTGTATATATTGTGCATTTAATACATTACATTTTAAATTTGTATATATTGTGCATCTCAATTACTTCATCGAAATGCTTACCTAAACCTCCCCCCCCCCCCCCCCCCCCTCCTTCCAACATTGCCTTCACGGCTAGTGTGCTATGAAATTATTTTAAAACTACTATATATACACCTACCAAATTAATAACTTATCTCTCACTTTATCTCTTTCACTTTTCACTATCTATCTCGCTCAAACCCTATATATAGTCACTTTCTAAACATAATTTGCAATCAAGATTGCAATGGCTAGTGGTGCTAGTTCTCCGTGTGGTGCACGCAAGTTCTTTCGCCGAAGGTGCATTCCCGACTGTGTGTTGGCACCTTACTTTCCCAATTTCAATTATTTAATTGTTTATTATTTCAATTGTTTTAACATTTGAAATTTGAAAATTAAAATATTCAATCCAAAGTCCAACTTTCTAATACTAATTTTTTTTTCATTGATTTATTTATTAGAAAAACAAAACAAAATGAATTATAGAAATGGAACAAAAAGAAAATTGAAAATATAGAAGGAAAGTTTTAAAAAATTTCAAATATGCATGGAAGTTGGTCGAATATTGCCCGATAATTGTCCGCTAGTAACTTGGGACCAAATCAACCCAGTCACTTATAATATCGGATGTAATCTGCTTTAAAAGTGGTTCAAAAACCCCTGGACCGGCTCAAAAGGGATAATTTCAACGATGGGGGCTTTTGGTACCGGAAACGTATATCGGAGAGGAAGCAGTCCCATTTCCGGTTGAAGAGAGAGCATGCAGATAGCTTCACCATCGGACGTGGGTGAACTCCAAACTTTAACACTGAGAATGACCAAAACCGGGCCTAGGTTCTAGGCCGGCCGGTTCCAACCCTGATGGTTCGAGGGTTATATTTTAACAATCTAATTTTTTTTTCCGATTTTGCAATTTGCTTCAATTCATATTAAGTTAATCCTTTTAATTTTAATTAATAATCTAGTTTAATTTCAACTTTTAATTTATAATTATATATTTTTTCCATTCGAGATACACCAAATGTTTCAAACTAATTTATGGTAATACTAGTTTTTTTACGGGCATTGCACGATTGGGATAATGCCCAATTTTTTTTTTAAATAAGTACTTTAAAATACATTAAGGCAAGATTATATTGGAATTGTTCATGCATAGATAATTGAATGTTGAATTTGCGTATTTAAATAAGTAATTTTAAGTTTACAAATGCAAGATAATATAGTTAATATTGGTTATAATTGTCAATAAAATAATTGTATGGGTATGGTTGAAACCAAATACGGGACATAAGGGAGAGCAAATAAAAATTAGGGCATAAAAGATTAAATATATACTAATATTGAAGTGCTAACTGCTGATTGCCAAACAAGGACATTGCGAGATAGTTTCCTACTTCAATTTGTTGTGTGGTTTGAATACTCTTTTTATCAATAAATCCCCCAAGTAGTTAATATGATTGGCTTAATTATATTTTTTATTTTTATAACAATTATTATTATTATTATTATTATTATTATTATTATTATTATTATTATTATTATTATTATTATTATTATTATTATTATTATTATTATTATTATTATTATTATTATGAAATATATTTATACCCTTAGATCATTTTACATGTTAATCTAAACAGTTAATTTTTTCAAATATCTTTTTACCAACCGTTAATATAATTCGCTAGTCAAATCCGCTAACACTAACCGCTAACTGCTGATTATCAAACAAGGACATTGCGGGGTAGTTCTCACTTCAATTTGTTGTGTGATTTGAATACTCTCTTTGTCATCAAATCCCTCAAGTAGTTAATATGATTGGCTTTATTAATTATATTTTTTTAATTTTAAATTTTTTTATGGTATTAATAAAATACTTGGTAAATAAATATATAGCATTATTTTGTATTATAACTTTGATATTAAATTAAAAAAATAGTGCACAAAAAAGATAATAGACAATGCAGTGAATATAAGTAATTGATGAATTTGAATATAAAGAATTTTTACATTGGAGAAAAATAAAGACAATATAACTAATGAAATTATTTTTCTTAATTAATTTATTGATAATGAATAATTTGTTTTTAAAAAAGACATTGTACGGATAATGTAGCGAATATAATTAATTGATGAATTTGAATGTAAAGAATTTTTATATTGGTGAAAATTAAGACAATATAACTAATGAAATTATTTCTCTTGTTTAATTTATTGATAATGCATAATTTTTTATTGAATAAAGACATTGTAGACACATAATTCTAAATTAAAGAAATGCATATGTATTATTTTTTGTTGTAGCTACTAAATTATTAATTATATAATTTAATAGGAGTAAAATAGAGTACTAATTATGTCAACTTTAATTTGATTGGGATGGGTTCGAACCTAAGACCTTTCTTATTAAATCAATGAGTAAATTAATGGTGAACTAACGAAAATTAACAGAAAAGATAATATTTAACAAGAAAGTTAAAGGATAATCATATTCATTAAGGATAAATTAGGAAATCTCAAGGAAAAATTAAAATATATTCAATCTGAACCATTCATTTGATTAAAAAAAATTGACTGTTATTTTTCTACCCATTATAGGCCTAACTCTCTTGGATTCTTATTAGTATATATATATATATATATATATATATATATATATATATATATATATATATATATATATATATATATATATATATATATATATATATATATATATATATATATATATATATATATATATATATATATATATATATATATGTATATATATGTATGTATGTATATATATATATATATATATATATATATATATATATATATATATATATATATATATATATATATATATATATATATATATAATTAGGGCTGTCAAAACGGGCCGGCCCGCCCCACCGTGGGTTTTTCTTTTTGCGGATTTTTGCGGGCCGACCCGCGAAGCCCGCGGGCTAGGAGATATACAACCCAAGCCCGCCCCATGCAGGCTTGCGGGCCCCGCGGGTTGGCCCGCGGGCTGGTGTTAAAATTTTAAAAAAAAATAAAAAATGTCTAATAAGCATCTTTTCTTCTCTTCTTCTAGGATTTGTTCTTCTATGACTGAAAGGACAACATATTGAGGCCCCTAATTTAGTCTTCAATCCCAACCTCCTCCCAGATCAACTTGGACACTATTTCATCCTACTGTGGAACATATTCCTGCATGCCAAAATGCATTTCATTAATTATAAATAAACTTTATAAGTTTAAGACAAAATAAAAACAAAAATAAAAGTTGCCTAGTGGATTAGAGATTTTTTTCTTTAGTCTTAAACAATTATATTATATTATATATAGAGAGAGACAGTAAACAGTAGTCAATTAGGATTAGGATTAGAAATTTAGGTTTTACCTCTTTTCTTTAGTCTTAAGCAGTTTCTTTACTGTTATATTATATTTTATAATTTATATATTATATAATATAATATATACATATATTTTTTTTAAAGGGCTTGGCCCGCGGGTAGGCCCGCAACCCGCGCGGGCTATTGCCCTCCGCGGGCTAAGCCCATTAGGCCCGCGTTTTCACGGGCCTATTTTTTGGTGGCCCTAACCCGCCCCACTGTGGGGCGGGTGCGGGCCAGCCCGCAGATTTTGACCCACTTTGACAGCCCTATATATATATATATATATATATATATATATATATATATATATATATATATATATATATATATATATATATATATATAGTAGATTAGAAAGAGAATATCACACGTCATCAGAAAACATCAATAACCATTACAATAATTGTTCCATTTCAGACAAATATGACTCAATATCTATATATATATATATATATATATAGTAGATTAGAAAGAGAATATCACACGTCATCAGAAAACATCAATAATCATTACAATAATTGTTCCATTTCAGACAAATATGACTCTTCAATGTGACATTATCACGTTAAATATAGTTAAGTTGAAAAGAAAAAAAGTTACATAGTCCCTTCACTTAATACTGTTAATTATGACAAGCCTGAATGGATTGTGGACAGTGGTGCCACAAATCATATTGTATGTGACTTGAAGATATTAAACACTCAAGAAAGGGTTCACAATCTGCATGTTAAGTTGCCAAATGGTCAACAAGCTGTCATTACTTTCACTGGTTCAGTGCATCTATCTGATGATTTCATTCTGGAAAATGTATTGTATGTGCCTGGTTTTCAACACAATCTGATCTCAGTAGGAGCTTTTATCAAGAACTCCAATCTTACCATGAAAATGTATTCTAATCAATGCATTATACAGGATGCTGCCCATGGCAAGGTGATTGGAAAGGCTGAGCTGTGCAGTGCACTATACCATTTAACCTTTCCTGTTATATCTGCAGTATGCAATTCAATTTATGTCATTAGAAAATGTATTTTGTGGCACTAGGGCATGCTTCATATTCAAAACTACAACTCTTGAAAGATTTGGAACCCACTATTCAAGTCAATAAAGAATTTATATGTGATTCTTGTCACTTTGCTAAACAAAAAAAGATCTCATTTTCAGTCTAGTTCTTCTATCTCAACTAACTGTTTTGATTTTGTACATATGGATATATGGGGACCCTATAAAACAGCCACCACATGTGGCCATCATTATCTCCTTACTATATTGGATGATCACAATAAGACTGTTTGGGTATATCTGATGAAGACCAAGTGTGAGGTGAGAAGTTTGGTTTCAGGATTTTGCAGCCTTGTTGAGAATCAGTTTGGTACAAGTGTGAAATGCCTAAGGTCAGATAATGGGGCTGAATTGAAGATGACTGATTTTTTCAGACAAAAGGGCATTGTGCATCAAACTTCTTGTGTGCATACACCTCAGCAGAACAATAGAGTTGAGAGAAAACATGGTCACTTACTATCAGTTGCCAGGGCTCTCAAATTTCAAGCCAACCTACCAGAGTGGTTTTAGGGAGAATGTGTTTTGCATGCAGCCTACCTGATTAATAGACTCCCCACTGCTGCTATCAACAACCAGATCCCACAGTACAACCAATTGAAGGTCTTTGGTTGTTTAGCATATGCTACCACAATAGTGCCTAAATCAAAGTTGGATGCCAGGGCCAGAAAGTGTATTTTCCTTGGATATGGGAGCAACACAAAAGGATACAAACTTTATGATCTGCTGTCCAGAGAGCTCTTCATGTCTAGAGATGTAGTTCTTTATGAACAAGTTTTCCCCTTTCAGCAAGGCAACAGTCAAGAAAAAGGACCTCCTCAGATCATACTACCCACAATGAGTAGCATTCCCAATGAGGACTCTGAAAGGATCTCATATCAAATACCAGTCAATAGCAGCAATGAACAGACTCAGAATCAGTATCTGCATGAAGTTCTTGAGTCAACTGATGAAGTAAGTCCTCAAAATCAAACCAGTAGTCAGAATGATCAGGCTGGCTCTAATTCCTTAATGAGAGCCAAAGGCAGTCACCTGATGTATCACAGTGTACTGAAAATTATCAACAACAGGCTACTAGAAAGTCCACAAGATAGAGAAACACTCCCACTTACCTGCAAAATTATGTCTGCCAAAATTTAGCTGTGAAAACCTGACCTCATCCCTTGAGTAAGGTTTTGGATTACAGCAGGTTAGCAACAAACTTTCAATCGTTTGTCATGAATATAACATGCCATTCAGAACCCAAATCCTATCAAGAAGCCGTCTAACATGATTGTTGGAGGAAAGCTATAGAGGAGGAAATCAAAGCCCTAGAAAAGGAATGCCACTTGGCAACTGGTAGATCTCCCCCCCCCCCCCCCCCCCCCCACCCCTTTCAAAAAGTCCATTGGGTGTAAATGGGCATACAAAACCAAGCACAAATCTGATGGCACCATTGAAGGATATAAGCAAGGCTGGTGGCAAAGGGTTACAACTAAACTTTGGGCATTGATTACTTGGACACTTTCAGTACAATGGCCAAAATGACCGCCATTAGAACACTCTTAGCAGTGGCAGCAGCAAAGGGTTGGCATCTACACCAAATGGATGTCAACAATGCATTCCTCCATGGAGAATTATAAGAGGAGGTATATATGCAACTGCCCCCTAGTGTCCCAAGACAGAGAGTTGGTCAAGTCTGCAAGCTAAATAAGTCACTCTATGGTCTGAAGCAAGCTAGCAGGCAGTGGAACACTAAGCTAAGCATTGCTCTACAAAGTATGGGGTTTAAACAATCTATACCTGACAATTCTATGTTCACTAAAGGTGAGGGACATTCTTTTATGGCCTTGCTAGTCTATGTAGATGATATAGTTGTTGCCAGTGCAGATATAAAAGCCATACAGGAAATCAAAGGACAACTCAATGCCAAGTTTCAAATAAAGGATCTAGGATCCTTGAAATATTTTTTAGGTCTAGAGGTTGCTAGACAGGGTAAAGGAATTAATAATGTATGCCAAAGAAAGTACACCCTTGAATTACTAAATGATACAGGATTTACAGATTGCAAGCCAATACATAGCCCCACAGTACCATCACATAACTCAGTAAGCATATTGGTGAGCCTCTTGAAGACAACACACAGTACAGGAAGATAGTTGGGAAACTCCTATACCTAACTATCACCAGACCGGATATTAGTTTTGCAACTCTCTCAGTTCCTTGATTGCCCCACTCATTCACACCTACAGGCTGCTCATAGGGTGCTCAGGTACATCAAGGCTGCCCCTGCTCAAGGGATGTTCTTCCCCTCTAGTTCTGACTTAAAGCTGAAGGCCTTTTCTAATTCAGATTGGGGGGCTTGTGTTGATACTAGAAGATTTTTAACTGGTTTCTGCATCTTCTTGGGGAATGCTTTGGTGTCATGGAAGTCCAAGAAACAAGTAACTGTGTCCAAGTCCTCATCAGAAGCTGAATATAGGGCATTGGCAGCTACAACTTGTGAAGTCCAAGGGATATCTTACCTTCTGAATGAACTGGAAATTAATCACAGTGGTCCTGCAGCTGTTTATTGTGACGGTAAATCCGCCATTGCCATTGCAAAGAACCCAGTTTTTCATGAGCACACCAAACACATCGAACTAGATTGTCATCTAGTTAGAGAGACACTTAGTAAAGGAGTAATCAAGTTGTTCCATGTCGGATCTAAAAGTCAGTTGGCAGATACCTTCACCAAGACACATTGTCCCAGTTCATTCCACAAGTATATTTCCAAGCTTGGCTTGTTCAATATGTAAACTCCAGCTTGCGGGGGCTATCAGGAGACTAACTCAGCTGACTTGGCATTATGTTTGTTAGTCCAGTCAGCATAACAGTTTGCATAGCTGTCACCCTTTTGTTAGTTAAGCTTGTGTTAGCTAAGTAATTAGCTTGTTGTATATAAACCTTTCTCCTTCCTTCAATGAAACTGTTAGATGTTTTTCTTGTTCAGTTTCAATCTGTTTTCTTCTCTCGATTGAGTTCCGCAACACATATTCTATAATTGTTTTTTTTTTTCAATACTTAAACAATGAAAAAAAATTATATTAGAAAGTCAAGATATTGAATTGAATATATTTTAATTAATATTCAAATACCAAACGTTGAAATAAACAAAATAATATACTATTAAATAATTGAAATCATGAAAGTAAGGTGCAAACACAAATTGAGAAACGCACCACCAATGAAGAAATTTGGATGCGCCACACGGAGATCCAGCACCACTAGCCATGGCAATCATCATTAATAACAAAATATATATATATATATATATATATATATATATATATATATATATATAATTCAAACGTAACGTAAAACGTTACGTACGTTACGAAAAAAATTAATGCCGCCACAAATAGCGAGAATATGAGATGATTAGAGGACGGTTATCGTGCAATATTCGAGCAACTTTCGAGCATATTTTAAATTTTTTTCAACTTTCCTTTTATATTTTCAATTTTCTTTTTATTCCATTTCTGCAATTCTTTTTGTTTTTTTTAATACTAAAACGATGAAAAATTAATATTATAAAGTTGAGACTTTGGATTGAATATTTTTATTTTCAAATTCCAAACGTTGAAATAAAGGAAATAATAAAGAATTAAATACTTTAAATCGAGAAACTAAGGTTAAAACACACAATCAGGAACACACCACCGGCAAAGGAACTTGCATGCCCCACACGGAGAACCAGCACCATTAGCAATGGCAATCTTGATTGATAACAGATTGCGTAACTTAATATCATAAATGCATAAATTTAAACATAACGTAAAACGTTACTTACATTACGAATACAATTAGTGCTGTCACAACTAGCGAGAATATGAGATGATTAGCGCACAGTTATCGTGCAATTTTTGAGCAACTTCCGAGCATAATTTGAATTTTTTTCAACTTAACTTTTATATTTTCAATTTTCTTTTTGTTCCATTTTCTATAATTGTTTTTTTTTTAATACTAAAACAATGAAAAAAAATTATATTAGAAAGTTGACACTTTGAATTGAATATTTTTAATTAATTTTCAAATACATTGAAATAAACGAAATAATAAACTATTAAATAATTGAAATCATGAAAATAAGGTGCGAACACAAAATGGGAAATGCACCACCAATGAAGGAACTTGGATGCGCCACACGAAGAACCAGCAGCATTGTCCATGGCAATCATCATTGATATATATATATATATATATATATATATATATATATATATATATATATATATTAAATTCAAACGTAACGTAAAACATTAGCAATAAAATTAATGCTACTACAAATAGCGAGAATATGAGATGATTAGCGCATGATTATCGTGCAATTTTCGAAAACTTCCGAGCATATTTTAAATTTTTTTCAACTTTCCTTTTATATTTTCAATTTTCTTTTTGTTACATATTCTATAATTGTTTGTGTTTTTTTTTTAATACTAAAACAATTAAAAAAAAATTTATCTTAGAAAGTTGAGACTTTGAATTGAATATATTTTAATTAATTTTCAAATTCCAAACGCTGAAATAAATGAAATAATAAACTATTAAATAATTGAAATAATGAAAGTAAGGTGCAAATACAATCTAGGGAACGCACCACCAATGAAGAAGGAACTCGTATACGCCACACGGAGAACTAGCACCACTAGCCATGGCAATCTTAATTGATAACAAATTGCGTAAATTAATATCATAAATGCACAATATATATATATATATATATATATATATATATATATATATATATATATATATATATATATATATATATATATATATATATATATATATATATATAATTCAAACGTAACGTAAAACGTTACGTACGTTACGAATAAAATTAATGCTGCCACAAATAGCGAGAATATGAGACGATTGGTGGACGGTTATCGTGCAATATTCGAACAACTTCTGAGCATATTTTTAAATTTTTTCTACTTTAATTTTATATTTTCAATTTTATTTTGTTCCATTTCTACAGTTCTTTTTGTTTTTTTTTTTTTTAATACTAAAACAATGAAAAAAATTAATATTAGAAAGTTGGGACTTTGGATTGAATATTTTTATTTTCAAATTCCAAACTTTGAAATAAAGGAAATAATAAACTGTTAAATAATTGAAATCGGGAAAGTAAGGTGCAATCACATAGTCAGGAACGCACCACCGGCGAAGGAACTTACATGCGCCACACGGAGAACCAGCACCACTAGCCATGGCAATCTTGATTGATAACAGATTGCGTAACTTAATATCATAAATGAATAAATTCAAGCGTAACGTAAAACGTTACTTACGTTACGAATACAATTAGTGCTGCCACAAATAGCGAGAATATGAGATGATTAGCGCACGGTTATCGTGCAATTTTCGAGCAACTTCCGAGCATAATTTGAAATTTTTTTCAACTTTACTTTTATATTTTCAATTTTCTTTTTGTTCCATTTTCTATAATTGTTTTTTTTTAATACTAAAACAATGAAAAAAAAATTATATTAGAAAGTTGAGACTTTGAATTGAATATTTTTAATTAATTTTCAAATACCTTGAAATAAACGAAATAATAAACTATTAAATAATTGAAATCATGAAAGTAAGGTGCGAACACAAAATGTGGAACGCACCACCAATCAAGGAACTTGGATGGGCCACACGGAGAACCATCAGCATTGGCCATGGCAATCATCATTATATTGATATATATATATATATATATATATATATATATATATATATATATATATATATATAATTCATACGTAACGTATTGCGTTACGTACGTTACGATTAAAATTAATGCTGCCACAAATAGCGAGAATATGAGATGATTAGAGGACGGTTATCGTGCAATATTCGAGCAACTTCCGAGCATATTTTTAATTTTTTTTTAACTTTCCTTTTATATTTTCAATTTACTTTTTGTTCCATTTCTGCACTTCTTTTTTTTTTTTTAATACTAAAACGATGAAAAAATTAATATTAGAAAGTTGAGACTTTGGATTGAATATTTTTATTTTCAAATTCCAAATGTTGAAATAAAGGAAATAATAAAGTGTTAAATAATTGAAATCGGGAAAGTAAGGTGCAAACACACGGTCAGGAACGCACCACCGGCGAAGGAACTTGCATGCATCACTCGAAGAACCAGCACAACTAGCCATGGCAATCTTGAATGATAACAGATTGCATAAATTAATATTATAAATGCCTTATATATATATATATATATATATATATATATATATATATATATATATATATATATATATATATATATATATATATATATATATTAAATTCAAACGTAACGTAAAACGTTTCGAATAAAATTAATGTTGCCACAAATAGCGAGAGTATGAGATGATTAGCGCACGGTTATCGTGCAATTTTCAACAACTTCCGAGCATATTTTGACTTTTTTTCCACATTCCTTTTATATTTTCAATTTTCTCTTTGTTCCATATTCTATAACTGTTTTTGTTTTTTTTAATACTAAAACAATGAAAAAAAATATTAGAAAGTTGAGACTTTGAATTGAATATATTTTAATTAATATTCAAATACCAAACGTTGAAATAAACAAAATAATAAACTATTAAATAATTGAAATCATGAAAGTAAGGTGCAAACACAAATTGGGGAACGCACCACCAATGAAGGAACTTGGATGCCCCACACGGAGAACCAGCACCACTAGCCATGACAATCATTATTGATAACTATATATATATATATATATATATATATATATATATATATATATATATATATATATATATATAAACATTACGAATAAAATTAATGTTGCCACAAATAGCGAGAATATGAGATGATTAGCGGACGGTTATCGTGCAATATTGGAGCAACTTCGGAGCATATTTTTAATTTTTTTTAACTTTCCTTTTATATTTTCAATTTTCTTTTTGTTCCATTTCTGCAATTCTTTTTGTTTTTTTTTAATACTAAAACAATGAAAAAATTAATATTGAAAGTTGAGACTTTGGACTGAATATTTTTATTTTCAAATTTCAAACGTTGAAATAAAGGAAATAATAAAAAATTAAATAATTTAAATCGGGAAACTAAGGTGCAAACACACTGTCAGGAACGCACCACCACTGGCGAAGGAACTTGCATGCCCCACAAGGAGAACTAGCACCATTAGTCATGGCAATCTTGATTGATAACAGATTGCGTAACTTAATATCATAAATGCATAAATTCAAACGTAACGTAAAACGTTACTTACGTTACGAATACAATTAGTGCTGCCACAAATAGCGAGAATATGAGATGATTAGCACACGGTTATCGTGCAATTTTTGAGCAACTTCCAAGCATAATTTGAATTTTTTTCATCTTTCCTATTATATTTGCAATTTTCTTTTTGTTACATATTCTATAATTGTTTTTGTTTTTTTTTTAATACTAAAACAATTAAAAAAAATTTATATCAGAAAGTTGAGACTTTGAATTCAATATATTTTAATTAATTTTCAAATTCCAAACGTTGAAATAAACGAAATAATAAACTATTAAATAATTGAAATAATGAAAGTAAGGTGCAAACACAAACTAGGGAACGCACCACCAATGAAGAAGGAATTTGGATACGCCACACGGAGAACCAGCACCACTAGTCATGGCAATCTTAATTGATAACAGATTGAGTAAATTAATATCATAAATGTACAAAATATATATGTATAATTCAAACGTAACGTAAAACGTTATGAATAAAATAAATGCTGTCACAAAT